CTTCCAATCTTCAATCAAACACGTGCCTCAAATCTTATGCCAATGTAACAGGTAACGACACCACTCATAATCAATTTTGCGACAACCACTCCCCCAAAACTGATATTGATGTTTTCTCTAAGTTTTTAGATGAACTAAAATCTGTTATCAATCCTCTAATTACTCTCCTCACCTCTGTCATCCCCAAGCTCCTTGATACTAAACAAAATGCCTAACTCCTATACTTCTAACTCTCTCCTCACCCTTCTATGGAATGCTAACGGATTAAAGAATCACACAACTGAACTTCTCCTCACCCTTCAGGAAAAAAGAATTGACATTGTCCTTATATCTGAAACCCACTTCACCTCTAACTCGTACGTCAATTTCCCTGGTTACGATTCCTACCGTGCAAACCACCCAGATAACACTGCTCATGCAGGAGCAGCAATATATATAAAATCTTCACTTAAATACATACCACTCCCAAACTTCATATCCGACGACATCCAATCCTGTGCTATATCTCTGATACTTGATAATATCCCTATTACATTCGCAGCTGTTTATTGTCCACCGAAACACAAAATCTCCCCGGCCAGATTCACTGAAATTTTCTCCACACTCAACAATAACTACATCATAGGTGGCGATTTAAATGCAAAGCACCAACAGTGGGGCTGTCGTGCCTCAAACCCCAGAGGAAATTCTCTCCTCCAATCACTACCATCTACCAACTCTACCGTCATTGCACCTCCAAATTACACATACTGGCCTAACTCCCGTCGAAAAATGCCAGACATCCTGGATATCTTCGTCACTAAGATTCCAAGGAACCTCCACACTCAAATATTTAATCTCATTGACCCATGCTCAGACCATTCACCAGTCATGCTTTCACTAGACTGTCTTCCCCAAGCTAAAGCCAACGCCTCAGCTCTATCTCAATTTCCAACTGACTGGGACAAATTCAGTACAATCCTATCGGAAAAAACTTGCCTTAAACTCCGCCTAAAGACTCCCTCTGATATCGACGACGCAGTAAACCTACTCACAACTAATATTCAAACCTCCGTTTGGGACTCAGCCAAACCTGTGCCCTTGCACGTTAAGCCTTCCCCTCATCTTCCCTCCTACATACGAACTCTCATCTCACAAAAACGTCGCGCTCGTGTTATTTGGCAAAGAACTCGATATCCTATCGACAAATCCCTTTACAATGCACTCACCCAAAAGTTGAAACGTCTGCTAGCTAACCTTAAATCGGAGTCTTACGCAAACTATAGTTCTTCTCTCACTGGCATGGATGGCTCCCTATGGAAAGCCACTAGGAAACTACTACGAATTCACAATTCTCCCCCTACTCTACGTAATGCTGATGGTAGCTGGGCACTGTCTGAACAATCTCAAGCCAACATATTTGCCAACCACCTATCTAACACATTTCAACCACATCACAATATTATCTCTCCAACCAAAATCCAGGAAGTTGAAAGCTATCTTAACTCTCCTCTTCCAATGTATCCGCCTCCTAGAGCTTTTACCCCTGGTGAAGTTGAATTTAATCTTAAGAAAAACTCACCGAAAAAATCTCCTGGTTTTGACTTAATTTCGACGGAAGTGGTCAAACACCTTCCCAGAAAAACCATAATTTTCCTAACACAAATTTACAATGCTATGCTTCGTTTATCATACTTTCCTATATTATGGAAATATTCTATCATAATACTAATACCAAAACCAAAAAAACCCCCTGACTGTCCTTCCTCATATAGGCCTATAAGTCTCCTACCAACTCTCTCCAAACAATTTGAAAAACTTTTTCTCAAACGAATACTGCCAATAGTTGATGAAGCTAAAATACTACCTGACTCTCAATTTGGTTTTCGCAACAGTCCCTCAACGATCCATCAGATTCATCGCCTGGTTGACAAAATTTCATTTGCCCTAGAGGAAAAATTATACTGCACTGGTGCTTTCCTTGACGTCTCCCAAGCTTTCGATAGAGTCTGGCACTCAGGCCTCCTATATAAATTAAAACCTATCCTTCCTAGTCACTACTATCTGATCCTCAAATCCTACCTCGAAGATCGGTTCTTCTCCGTACGTGTAGGTTCTTCCTTCTCCTCTCCTACTGAAATAAAAGCAGGCGTTCCACAAGGCGCAGTAATTGCTCCCCTACTCTTCAATCTCTACATCTCCGACCAGCCTACTTCACCCCATACCTTAGTCGGTGATTTTGCTGACGACAAAGCCATACTAACAACCAGCCCTGATCCTGTTTTAGCCTCCTCCTACATACAAGATCATCTCTTCTCCCTTGAATCGTGGTACAAAACATGGGGAGTAAAAATGAACGAAACCAAGTCCATCCACGGTACCTTTGCACTTCGTCAAGGAGTATGTCCAACACTTTATCTCAACAACCAACCACTTCCCCCTGCGCAATGCGTACGTTACCTCGGTATCCTTATCGACCGCCGTCTCACTTGGAAACCTCACATAATTAACAAAACTCGTACACTAAATGACCGCTTCCGGCTCCTTCGTCCACTTCTAACATCAAAGCACATGAAACCTTCCAACAAACTCCTGCTCTACAAACTCCTACTCAGACCCATCTGGACTTATGGGATTCAACTATGGGGCGCTGCCAAAATCTCCAACATCAACCGCATTCAAAGATTCCAATCCAAAACTCTACGCACAATTCTAAAAGCACCATTCTATGTCTCTAACCACACCCTCCACACTGATCTCAAAATACCATTTGTCTCTGAACTAGCCAAAACTCATTATAAACGTTTCAATAACCGCCTAGCTCACCATAAGAATCCGTTAATCTCCGACCTATCATCTGCTTCTATCCCAGGTAACCCAGTTAAAAGACTTAAAAGACAGTGGTGTCGCGACCTGCTAGCCTAATTTAGTCCTACTCATGTCGTAGTACCTCCGCTGGGAGGCCTCTACATTCGGGATAATCTGTCATTTATTTTTATTTTATTTTATTTTTACTTTCATCAATTGTTCTTATTGTTCATGTATTGAAACAGATTGAATAAATATTTTAATTACAAAAAAAAAAAAAAAAAAATTTAATCATTTTTAAAATAGCCTGTATTCTGCCCAGTGGTTTCATCTACAAACAAATATTCATTTATATACATAATATATTGACAAAAAATAATAATACAAATCAACAAACATGCCCGATTAACCAATAGCAAACAATATACATATAATTCACTGTTGCGCCACTGTTGTATTTTTTACATCCAGATTCCAGATTTCCTACTTTTCAGTTGGATTTTCCTGAAATAAAATTTTCTTTCGTATCAACCTTCTTCTGGTAATTACGAACATCTTAAAAAAAATTTGAGCCAAATCGGAAAAGCCGTTCTCGAGTTTTAGCAAGACTAACCAACACCAAATAAATTTTTCCATATTATATGGAAAACCATCTCCTAGATTGGAGATTTGAAAATAAAGTGATAATTTCTGAAAAATCTGCTTTACGTACCTACCTACTTGTTATTTCTGATTAAATTGTCATTATTGCTAACGCAAAACATTTTTCTATTAGTATTAGATTTATGGACATTCGAAATTGGCCCTCTAGTAGAATTGAGTTGCCCATCCCTGATATAGGTAATCATTAGGATTTAGGGCATAGAACTATACAAGTCGGATGAGCTAGAATTGACAAATATTTGAATATGCAATCAAATCACTGAGGAAAAAAAAACTGAAACATAATTTATAATATGTTTATTAGTTATTATAAACTACTCTATTTTAGAACTCAAATGATAAAACATTATAAAATTATACATATATATTCACGTAATAATTAATAACATATAGTATAATATAACGAAAATGTATAAAAATTCAGTCAAAGTGAATCACAGTCCACAGATAATTATATCATATTATATAATAATAAAAACACTAAAAGGTACGTAACTGATTATTGTTGCTGGCTGAAAATAAATAAACATTCAAACGAGATAACCACTTATACTAGCAGGTCGGTATATCAACGCTGAATAATAAACAAATTTAATTATTAATTTAGCTAAAAAAAACAGTGTGCACTATATTTAACAATTTTTCTTTTTGGAATTTCGTGTCGATTTATATAGTATCTCCAAAATAATCTACAACCGAAAGCGATCACGTTAAGATGGAGTTCATGTATCAGAAAACTGTCGAATATTCAGGAAGTAGTAGGTAAGACTAATAACGAAATTCTTAAATCTGGCGATATTGATCATTGTACAAATTATAGACCTATATGGTTATATCCTTCTATCTCTTTCCATAATCCAAAATATTTTAAAAACGATTCGAACAACGTTTGATTGATTTTTTGAGTATACATAAATTTTTACTAAAAACCAATTTGGATTTTGGAAAAATAAATCAACAAAATTCGCATTGTTATTAGCTTCGAATTTTATTCATTCTTGTAGATATTGACAATGACAATAATAAGATAGGTAATTGGTTTGTATCCAGGTTAAAAAAATGCTTAACATAAAAAAATATTAAAATATTAATGTGGTATTATTGGTATTGCTCAAGATGTGTTTATTTCATATTATTTTTCAAATAGTTTGCAATCATTGTATTTTACATTGTATCAAAATTGGACCAAGTTTGTCGTATTCCACGTATGGTGGAATAACCAGTTAATACAAAATCCTAACCATACTATATAACAGGGGTGGCCACTAACCTTAACTTTGGGAGCCGCAAATTTATAAAGCTAATTTGAGGTGAGCCACATTGTAAAGCGATGTTTCTGAAATGAAGACACATTGAAAAATGAACTCAAATTGAAGGAACGTTTATTTTTTACATTACATAAAACATTATTATTATTGACAAAGTTATTAACATTATTATTGATTTGATAGAACGTTTATTTTTTACACTACATAAAACATTATTATAATTGACATAGTTATTAACATTATTATTGATTTATTTATGAGAAGTGCTTTTTCGAGTGTTCATTATTTGAGCTTTGTGAAATCTGGCTGATAATTTGTAAGCGCAGTTCGCACAAGTTCACTTAAATGTTCATCAGTTAGTTCAGATCGATATTTAGATTTAATGAATTTTAACGTTGAGTACAATGATTCACACACATAAGTAGTGCCAAAGATTGAAATAAGTTTCATAGCACACATTTTTGTTTGTGGGTATTTTTCTTCTGGGACATTTTTCCAAAATTCTATGGTTGAAACGCCACTTCGTTTAAGTCCTTTTAGTCCTTCGTCTTCTTGCAGTTCTAATAACTCCAACTCTACAGCTGCTGTATCCTTTGTTATTGGTGATGAAATAGGACAGCCATCACTCACAACATCAACAGCAAAAGGATTTTCCAGGAATGAAAATGAAGGTTTAAGTGATCTTAAATCATTAAATCTGCGATTGATTTCTTCAGCAAGGCCTGACATCTTATTCATATATTCTTCAGTTTCCACCGGAATGTCGGGAAAACGTTCACTAATTTTCTTCAAACGTTTGAAGTGAGCAAATGTTTTTGTCTGAAGGTCTTTTGTAAAAAGCTTTAATTTGTTATGAAAGCTAAATACAGTCTGGGCCAAATCAGAAATAAGTTTTTCCTTTCCTTGTAAATATTTATTTAGAGTTTGTAAATACTGAACCACATCTGTAAAAAAAAGCCAAATCTAACAACCACTGGGGTTCATTAAGTTCAGGAAAAGATTTTCCTTTTTCTTCCATAAACTGTTTGATTGGATCAAGTAACTCAAAAAAACTGCCAAGAACATTGCTTATTGATAGCCATCTCACCAAGCAGTACCAAGATACATCATTAGGTAACTCATAGTTGTTCATATCTTCTATAAAAGACTTGAACTGTCGGTGTGTTTTGGCACTTAGCGAATACAGTTTACAATTTTTAGAACTATCTGCATAATATGCGGATATTGAAAATATTTTGCTGCTAAATGTTCTCTGTGAATAATACAATGTACAGGTAGGGAATCAGGATATGATGTGTCAGCTTTTAATAGTCCAATAAGCCCTTGTTTTGTACCAGTCATAGAAGGTGCACCATCGGTAGCAATGCTGACAATATTACCGATGGGCACTGCGTTTTTCTGTAAAACCCCATCCAGGGCTTCTTTAATGTCACAACCCCGAGTAGTATTCTTCAAAGTAACCAGGTCTAAGAGTTCTTCCACCACCTCTAAGTCTTTTGACACATACCTCACAAATATGGCAAGTTGTGGCATATCTTTAATATCAGTAGACTCGTCCAGTGCCAGGCTTACTGCTAAACACTTGCTTAAATTTGTTTGTAAATTATTTAAAATATCGGCACTAATAACAGAAATTCGTTAAAATTATAATTAGATAATTAGTATAATTAGATATATAGTATATAATATCAGATGAATAAAAAAAAAACCAAATTTAACCATTTTTAAATTAGCCTGTCTTCTTCCTAGAGTCTAATCTACACACAAACATTAATTTATTCATATATATATTGACAAAAAAAATAATACAAATCAACAAACATACCCGATTAACCAATAGCAACCAATATAAATTATAATAAACTGTTGCTCCTCCGTTGTACTTTTTACATCCAGATTTCCTACTTTTCCGGTGGATAACACAACACAAATGCATAAAAATTTAATTAGGTAGGTAGGTGAAGTTAAAATATAGCGATATTTGTTAAAAGCGTGAATCTGTGTAAAAAAAATTTAATTATATAAACCTAACTGATAGTAGCTGGCTGATAAGAAATAAACATTTAAACCACGGATACTATTTGTACCTATCTATATGGACGTTGAATAATAAACAAATATTATAAGTTATAACTATTTAGTTCACCTAAAAAAACAATATGTATTATATTTTATATCTGTATATCCAGTGATTGTCTTGCACTAATAAATTATAGCAAAAATTCAATTTTTCTTTTTGGAATTTATAAACGAAGGTTATGTTGATTTATGATACATCCAATTCTGCGTGTCTTTATTAATATGCTGCTGATGATAATTCTATTGTTGAAATTGTATGAGTATGTTTTATTATAATTTCTTACCTGGTTGATGTTACGTACTTGATTGAACGATGATAGATTTAAGATGAGAGTTTGACAATGTTAGTTTTCTCGAAATAACGTAAGCACAATTTTGATATGAGTAAAAGTTATTTTAATAATTCACAATAAGATATAAAATTTGAATGAGTACGTTAAATTAATAATCGCTGTATAATTTTGGTAGCAAAATAAGACGGTGTGTATGATACTGTGCTACTGAGCTCCGACTCAACTGAAGGGAGCAGACTGTTCTAAATATCGAAATGGGGGTTCTACTTATAGTATTGACCTTTATATCAATACCTTGATGTTCCATATTAAATTGTTGTTGTTTATTTGGCATAAGTGCATGAGTATAATCAAATATATATATTAATATGGTGAGTATGAATGTTGTTGTTGTGTATAATTTTGGATAGTATAATTAGTACCTACATGGGTACAGATATTTATTGTGGTATTTTGGTAATGACATATTTAATAGTATTATGATGGTATTGAATCATGAAGCTGTGTTGGTGAAATTATGTAGATATCATTACAGTACTCGAGGATCAGTCGTCTTAGGCTCCTTTTTTATTACTTATTTACATAAAATATCGTCTAATTAATCTTAAAATGTCCGGAAATATTATTTGTTTTGCTGACGATACATTATAGTTTTTGCAATTGAACATGAAATAAATTGATGAATATTGTATTATACTTAACGATTTAGTGTGGGGAGGGGTGGGCGTAAGTACTATAAAGAATAGTTAATTATATATTTATTAATATTAAAATCGACAGAAACTCAAAACCTTTAAGAAACTAAATGTTTAACTCAACTTGCGACCGGTGGACTGGGCGCTGTCACGGAAAACACCCGCACCGAATGTCCAACCGGACACAAACAGAGCAGCATGGGAGCAGAACGTAAATAACAAAACACACACCACGGAAACACAAACAAAAACAATATACAAAACCGGTGACATAGTGTAAAAGGTGTAAAAGGTGTTTTCCTAACCAACCAGCTGCCTCCAAGGAAAATACACGTATCGTGCCTGAAACGAGCGACGTGCCGAGTAGAACAAAAACCGGGATAGACAACACAACACACAAAAAAAAAAAAACAATATTGATAACAATAACAGCGTAGACACAACAATCAGTAACATAATCATTATTTTTAGCACAAACCGAACACCCCGCAACCCCGATGTCGAACAGTCAACAACAAACACCGTCAGACCCAATCCAGCAGGTGGCAGAACTGCTGGAGAGGAGCAGGCGCAACCTGCAGACTACCCGGGCGGACCCCGGAAGAACAGCGGCCAGGACACGACGCATGCTACTTTATCAATTGCAAGGGGACTCGGCACTGTGGGCAGCCTACATACGGGGATGGGAAGATAGGACGGCGGACGTGCACAGAAGCCTCTGTCAACCGCAGCCATCCGCAAACTGACATACACCAGTACTACCCCTCAGACCACCAATGAGCACAACACCAGCGGCCCACACAACACCTGCACAACCGGTAAAGCAAGCCTACGCGCCGCAGAATACACCACTCAGCACCGGCCAAACAAGAAGAACAACAAGCTCCTCGGCGAAACAGCTGCCACTAGCACTCACGGCGTCGGGGCTGACTAGGCGGCAACAGAGGGACAAGGCGAGGCTGAAGAATGGCGACGAAAAGAGCAAAGACAACCCAACAACACCGGCTCAACAACAAATTGGACGCCAATAGCACGCCACCCGCTACTCCCCTACCGCCACCAGCATCCCGGGACGACATGGTCGTAGACGGACAGCCACCAGCCGGTTCTGCCACCACTGGACAAGCAACCAACACGCCCACCCCAAACACTGCCGAAACCACTCCGGAAGAGATGGAGATCTCACCGGAGCAGGAGAACGAGGTGCTAAGGGACAAAACACCTGAATATCTGGGGAAGGATGACAACGATCACGACACAATATAGTGGTCCACAACCTCGAGTCCTCCCCGAAAAAGAAAGAGTGACCAGGCAGAACCAGGGCCACGCACCGATGTCACAAGCCGGAAACCGTGGTCAGGGCCCAGGGCCGGAAACCCCGAAGCACCGGTCGCATCACCACCATGACTGGCGGTTTGGAGGGGGAGTATGACGCGGACCCGGGAACCGGCGTTTGAATTCAAACGTCGTACTCCCGCCGCGCCAGCTTTTACCAACCACCAGGTCACGGTAGGACGACACCAGCGCACCGGCCGACAACGGCATTGGAACGCTGGAACGGTGCAACGGGCAACCGGCTCCGCGCGCCGGCTTTCTATCTTTTACCAGTCATGGCAACGCGAACACTACCCCGCTCGTAGACTGCCCGTTAGACCACTGCATACTAGCGACATATTGTTTCTTTTTCCGATTGTAATAATAATCGCTCGTTACCTGTGAAAACCACTTTGCAACCGATTAAATTCATATCTAAACACAACGGCTTGTTTTTTTTATTTAATTGTGTTGTGCCACCTTTCCTCAACCAGCATCGCCGGGCTAGGAGCACATCGCCCCCAACCCGTCAACCGGAGACACGTCAAGACGGAACACCACTCGACCGTGTCAATATTACTCCATATAAATGGATATACATTTCATGAAATGGACATCCACTTCATGAAATGAGCGATTTCACTAAGTGGATGTGACATATTATGTATGTTCCTATTTTTTGACGACACTATTTAACATTTTTCCAATTTTTTTCACAAGGTTATACCAAATACAAAAATAAATTAAATTAAAAAATAATAATAAAAAAATGTCGTAAAAAGTCAGATAATAATAAGTGTGTTTGAGGCCAGCCGGCGATAGTCTTTGATGTGCTTGACAGGGAGATGAAGACAATATGAAAATTAAATACAATAATTAATTTACTCATTACGAATAAAGTGGGCTATGCACCGCGGACAATTTTCGTTCTCATCTAAAACCAAATCGCCGAAAACCTCTGGTTGCTGTTTTATCCGTCACTTTCACAGGTCACCCTTTAAGCCAGGGGTCGGGAATTAGTTTCTTTGAGGAGGGTCCGGAGGATTTGAAAAAAAAAACTTTTTAGGTCCAGAAAACCTTTTGTTTATCATGCTAATGGTCTAAATACACAGAAAAATAATGAAAAATAAATCAGTATTCAAGTAAAATAGTTTTGGCATCCATTTATTTCTCTTCGGTGGTCCCTCAACAGTTACCGACCCTTGTTCTGAGTGTTAGCTACTTTATCTAATAAGTGTAAATCTATAGCGCCTACCTACTTATATATTATTATATGCTACTTAAAAAAAAAATTACTAAACAAATATAATATAATATTATATATATATGTATTTACATTTTACAAAATACAGAAAATTGTATTACTTACTTGGTTTATACTGTTTGTGGGTACTAAATTTAATTTGGCTGAGTTTAAATAATTTCTTACTATCACGTGAACTCATTTACTTTTCCATATTGTCCAATAACTATGAAACATCGAGGTACGTGCAATACTATTTTGGATCCGTGTTTTGATAAATAATAGCTTTTGTTCATTTAAAATTGCATTCATTGTTGATGTGAACCTATATGTATCTAAAGGTTTAAATATTGAAAATAAAATGAACAATTAATTTTCAACGAGATTAAAGAAAGTAAGGAAAGTTGGGAATAATTTTGAAAAACTTTAACAAATTACAAATTAAAACGGCAATCGGAAAAATTTAATATTATTCAAATGAAAGTTAAAACTGTGACATATAAATTTAAATGTTTTCTTTTAACGAAATTGAAATATAAACATTAACAAGAAATAAACAAGTTTCTTGTATCGATTATAAGGAAATTAATAACAGACATTGGCCATCATAGTATTTTTTTTATAATATGAAATATGAATAAATAATAATCTATACATATAAAATCCAAATACCACTCACTCACTGATTCCTGTATCTCAAAAACTACGCAACGTACGGACTTGAAATTTGGAATAGATTTTCTTCTCATATTTTCACTTTCAATAAGAAAGGATTTGCCGAAAATCACATTTTAAATAGATGCTCACAGGGACATTGAGGTACAAGTTGGAAATTTGAAATTTTATTTTTGTTTATTAATAGTTGCCATTGGTTACGGTCTACAGTAGAAATTAGTATTTATTTAATATTGGTTGCAATTGGTTATTCGGGCAGATCAGGTACAAGCTTGCATCAAATCAAATTATTGAACTTTGCCTACCAGGGTGGCTGAGTTGCACTTACCGCAGCAAGTTACACCCAAAAGGAGTTGAACAATCATATTTTTTTTAAGAATTGCCATTTTTTACGGGCAGCGAAGTGCGCGGGTTCAGCTAGTTATTTATAAACTTTTTATTATTATGTTTGTAGCCTATTCAAAATAAGAATTAATACTAATAGTAGGTATAATAGCCTTACATTATAGCCGGGGCTAGTGAGTATAGTGATGTCCATGATCATAACAATTTTATAATTTATCATATTAATTTCTTATCAGAAAATCCTTTGATATTATATAGTTATAAGTTATATTATATTTAACCTAAATAGTTGTATTTAAACTGTATTACCATTTACACATTTTAATATCATACCATTAAACATAATATAGGAAATCCAAAATACAAATAAATTTATCTCGGCAACAAATATGCATTTTTAACTAAATTATTAAAAAAAATAAAATGTTTACTTCAATTATAAATGTTAAGGGTATAAACACTATAAACGTTTTCCTATACATTAATTGATTTTTCCATTTTTTTTTTTAGTTTTTTCCACAATTTTACACTAACTACTTTTTATGATTAGTAATTAGATATTACAAATTACAATGTACCTAGTTTTAACACAAGACACAATCGACATTTTATATTTTATTGCACATAGATACAATTTGAATATAGATGAGTTGTCTAGTATACGATAGTCTAGTAGCCTACTAATTTATATTTTCTAGGTATTCACTACATTTACATACTATGCTAGTAATATAAAAATGGTAGAAGCCTTAATCTGTTGATTAGGTAGGATTTTCGTTAATAAACTATAGCTGGGCGTTTGAGCAGCTTTCTACGGTTGGAAAAACGTTTATCGAGAGAATCAAGTTAACCACCACGACGTAAAAAGTGGAAAATTGATCTGAAATAACACCATTTCAATATTTAAGAGGTTTATCTTACAATATTTACAAATAAACGTCACCGACAAAAGTAAATATATTCATTTTGGAATAAGAATACGTTCCTTTTTTGAGAACAATACAATATTATTATTCATTATTTTATAACTGATAGTTAATGATAAAATACTATTCTAGTACTATATTCGAATGTAAAATGATGTTGAACTTAAAACATTTAGGTAATTTTAAATTTATAATCCGTCTTAGACGCCCAGGATCTATATGTTAGTTGTAATTCATGATTATTAGCGAAAACTATTGGGAATTTTAAATGTTGACCTCTCAAAAGTAGATTCACTTTCCCATCGAACAAGATAATCAAAGCATTATTTTGACTACTAATCTTGTACACAGACACAAAAATAAAAAAATAAGAAACACTACACATTATTGTAAAATTAATACATTCGCAATACATTCATCGTTCCACATAGAATCTAAACTTAAAATAAGTCAAGTTTTTAAATATTTATAAATAGCTCAAGATTTATATTGAAAATTTTATTTTGTCTTGAAAAAACTAATATTATACATGTTTGGTAAAAAATTTAAGTCTACAATTTATTATTCAATTTTTAATTTCGAAAATATATTATCATTATTATAGACGTCGATTACAAAAAAATAATGCATTAATATACATTGATTTTATTTAAATGATAATTTTATGTTTGTAAAGTACGTATGCCTCCAGCTTACTCGGTACGACTGTAGGCAGCTACCATGAAACGTATGACTCGAGTCTTTTCGCACACATTTACAAGACAATGGTCATATTATATAAGATACTAAGATAGTGTAGGTACTCACACATTTGTACATACGGCTGGTTTCGTTTGTTACTTCGCCAAATATGTTTTTGAGTCATTGGTTTGAAATGAGAATCTTTTATTGTCATTGGACCTAAGACGAAGCGGACTACAATTAGTATAACAGCCACGGGCCAGGCGACTTTAGCTACCATCGTGGCGGGAACGGTTACTCTGACGTCTAAGCATCAACACGTGCCAGGAGAGTCTATTGACTCATACGAAGACGTTTCAGATGGACTACCCACCGAATTATCACCAAACGGCGACGGTACCGATCGACTCGCACAGGGGCGGTATAATCGTGCTACCAAGATATAAATACCACAACGGTGCACCGTGTAGTGTATTATCCTGGTGTACCTCTGTTTAACACGGAGTACCTTGGCGCCCGCAATGTTAACCTGGTGGTGCACCACGCAATGTACAACCTGGTTCACCATATAGTTATGTACCCGGTATACAATGGTATACACGATTGCCTCGCACTTATAGTGGATAGCGATCAGATACCGGTCGGTAACCGAATTATCACCTAGCGGCGACGGTACTGATCGACTCGCACATTGTGGCAGTATAATCGACCGAGGTATACACCAAGACGGTGCACCGCCTAGTGCGTCCTTCAGGTTACCTCTGTTTAACACGGTGTACCTATTGGCGCCCGCATAGTGAACCTGGTGGTGCACCACGCAACGTATAACCTGGTTCGCCAAGTTATGTACCCGGCTTACAATGGTGTACACGACTGCTTCGTTTCCAGTGGACAGCGGTCGGATACCGCTCAGTGGAAAGCCGGTCTGATCCGTCGTCGGATGGGTCATAGACTCTAAACTACGGTTGATGGTTGACGCGGTCAGAATGCCAGGTTCCGTCATTAAATTTTGTCCGCGATAGTGGCCAAAGTGGCCGAACTGAATGTCTGGTTGTAATGATATTCAGCTTCGTTTTACTTGT